CCAGGGGAGCAAATAGCACTCATGGCAGGGAGAAGACTGGAATAGGACTGTGATCTGTCCCCAGGCGAAGGACACGATGGCCAGGACCTCTCAGAGGCTCCCAGAGTCAATGGAAAGGTGTTCTCCTCCAGCCCCATCCTCTGCTGGGCTTGGGACCAGCGATGCCTCCAGCCTCCTTCCCTCCCTGCAGATTGCCTGGCCACCCCCTCCTCTCAGCCTTTCCCCCCGCTTCTAGACAAAATAACAAGCTCTCTCCGTTCCTGGGACTGCTCCCTTCTTTTCCAGACTTGCCTAGGCTCTTTCATCGCACCAATAAAAAAGTAAATGCATCACACGTTGGCCGGGGAGAGCGGAAACCCTTAAACATCTAAGAGGCGAGCGCGACACGCTGTGTTTTTTCGAGGCCGGGCTAAGCTCCCCGATGCCCTGTTAGGTCAAATGTCTTGCTCTGAAGAAGGAGAGAGGGGACTTATTAAAAACCTTTCATATGCCTTATTTTTAAGGTCCCGTTTCGGGAGGCCAAGGCGTGAGCAGGGCTGCCGAGGGGGAAGGGCACTGAGCCGGCGGCGTGCAAACAGATTGTGCAATATTTGCCTTGCACAGAGCTCCCATTGTAAAGCCTGGGAGTTCTGCTTTCAATAATTCCCCTGCTTCTCTTCACAATACTCCCCCTGCCATAATGCCCCATTGATGGGGAGAGAAAGGCAGTATTGAGGGCTGGAGGGGCTCCGGCCCCAGGAAGGGTTAAAAAATAAAGCAAAGGGGAAAAAAAAAAAAAAAGATTTGAGGCTTAGTTTTAAACTTTGCTGTGTGGCCCTCGTGGCAGATCGCAGCCGCTGAGAAATATGCGGAGCCTGTTTGCATAACCCTGTTTGCAGCGAGGGCTTTCAGAGCCAAAACGCAAGTGCGGCCGGAGCCGGGGGGCGGTGGGGAGAAAAAAGCAGGAAGGGCTGTGATTATTTTCATTCTTGCCCCAGGCCACATCAAATTAATTAAAAAAAAAAAAAGTAATATTCAAATATTTGGTTAGAGAACCAGCTGTGCAAATGCAAGGAGCTGTGCCAGCTGCAGGGACACAGAGGGACCTGGCCCAGGCACTGGTCAGGGTTTGCTGCCTCGCAGGTCGTGCTGCCAGGCTAAAAAGCACCAAAAAAGAGCATATTGGGCTTTGGCTGATGGCTTTACTCTGCTGCGGGATTTCTCAGCATGGGGGGCTTGGTCCCAGCTGGAAAGGGTCCGCAGGCACGTGGAAGTTCTGGGTTGGGGTGCGGGTAGATGATGCTCTGGGTTGGGGAAGCTCGGTTGGGGTGCGGGTGGGTGATGCTCTGCCCATGGAGTGGCTGGG